CTCAATGGTAGAGCGTTAAACTCCATGACCAAAGTTCCCGGGTTCGAATCTCAAGTGATCCACACTTGGGGTTGGGTATGACTGGCTGATGACGGCTAATAAGCCAGAAATGGCCATTCCGGTCTCCCTTGTCTTTGTGGGTATCACCTTATCAACATATATATATATATATATATGAAGAAGATGGAAGTCTCGTCGGAAAAATTCGAGTTGTAATATATATATGTATATTTTTTATACATATGTTTATATATATATGAAAAATAGAATAGGTTCTTCGGAAATATCGAGTTGTACTCGTGGATTTTCGAGCTGGTGTCACCAACCCGTCGTCAGACGAAAAGAAAACGAGGGAGAAACTTATGTTGTCACAGTAGACTAGTTGGTGTGACAGGACAGAACAGACCACTGACGTGTGAGAAGGGGGGGTGTGTGGGCTCCCGAGGTCATGGTAGGTCCCTGATTAAAGGGCTTGGAAGTGAGGGGAGGCGGAATATTTACGGCACACCCTGCTGGAGGGGGAGGGTGGGTGGTGAATCAGTTTGGATGCCGGCTGCTGTGGTCGCGGTCGTTGATGCGTGAATTAGGGCAGGGGGCACTCATTCGTGAACGTAGACCCTCGTAATAGGCATCTAAGTCAACGTGGCGATTGATACTACCCTCATTGTAGTACCAAGCCTCGAGAAATTCCCTCGCTCGCTTTGTGTTAGGCATGGCGACGGCCTCATGGCCATCCCAATTGAATCGGTGGTCGTACTCGATTGCATGGGCAAAGACGAGGGACAAGGTGTCTCGCCGACGGACAGCCAGTTTGTGTTCGTTGATACGGGTGCCCAGGCATCAACCTGTATGGCCAACATACACGCAAGAGCAATTAGCACGCGGGATGCGATAAATTACATTCGTTTGTTGCTCTTTCGGGATGGGATCCTTCACTCGAGATAGTGCTGCGCGTAGTGAAGATGCCGGTTTGTGGGCAACGTGAATACCCAAGCGGCTGAACTGCCGGGCGATTATTTCAGAAGTTCCACGCATATATGGCAAGGGGTAGAATTTTCGCGTTACAATCTCTCCGTTGGGGGTGGCGTCTTGCGACTGTGTCTGGTGTCTGAGACAGTTCTTTACAAAACTGATCGGATATCCGTTAGAGCGGAATAACCGATACAGGTGAGCAAGCTCATTGTTCAGGAGATCGTTGCTGTTACAATAACGGTAGGCCCGGTGGAACAGAGTTCGGACGCAGCTTTTTCTGTGAGCTGCATGGTGGTTGCTTCCATAGTTGAGGATAATCTTAAAGTTAGAGTCTTTCCTATGGACGCTTGTTGCCAGGCTACCATCGCTCAACTTCTGTATCCTCACGTCCAGAAACGGCAAGCTGTCTCCAATTGCCTCTTCGCGGGTAAACTGTATGGCTGGGAAAACGTCATTCAGTCTCTGGTGAAGCCGTTTGACTTCGCACTTCTTTATTATGACAAAGGTGTCATCAACGTAACGAAGCCATAGTTTAGGCTTGATAGTTTGGAAAACTATCTCTTCTAGTCACTGCAAAACTAGTTCGGCGAGCAGTCCTGATATTGGTGAGCCCATCGGGGTTCCCTTTACCTGTTGGTAGTACCTATTATCAAATTGACAATAGTTCCTAAGGCAAAGATTTAGCAGTTCTATAACATGCTGCGTTGGGATCTCAATAGGATTGTTCTGTAGACGTTGGGTTACGCATTCAATCGCCAAATCGTGTTGCATGGAAGAAAATAAGGCAACGACGTCAAAGGACAGGAAGCATTCATCGGTACTTACTTTGAGGCCTTGTACCCTGCGAAGGAACGCTTGAGAGTTGTTAATGCTGTAGTCCGATCCATAAGTGAGCCGCTTCAGACGACTGTATAACCACTTAGCTATATTGTAAGTGGGTGATCTGATAAGTGGCACTATAATCCTCAGGGGGACATCCACTTTGTGCACTTTTGGGAGGCCATCCGCGTGTGCGATGTGGAGATCACTGAGGGTCATCAACTTGGAGTCATCTGGACTGACAACTTTCAAACGAGCGAGCTCATTGACCTTCTTTTTGATGGCTGCGGCATGCTTTTTAGTCGGATCTTCAGCAAAAAGGGCATAGGCCTCCATGTCAATGAAGATTTCATTCGCCTTGTTATCGTATCAACTTTGTCCATGATGACAGTAGCGCCACCCTTGTCAGCGGGAACAAGGACAATGCTGTGATCCGACTTCAATGATCGTAATGCTTGCGCTTCTTCGGCCGGTAGATTTTGTGGGTATCTTTTTTGCCGGAGAATACCGGTGGCGCAGCTTCGTATGTTCGTGCGCATGTCTTGTGGAATGTTGGAGGCCAGAAGAATGGACTCAAGTCCAGCTAGGCAGTCGGTAGGTGTGGCATCCGCATGATAAAATCGTATTCCCTTCGAGAGGAGGGGAATTTCCGCAGGTGAGAGACCCCTCTTCGATAGGTTGACAACTCTCGTGGTCAAATTTCCTTGGTTCGTAGGACGGAGAATTGATTGGAGATTCTCCTGGATATCAAATCTTATCTTCAATCTTGCATGCTTGGTGGTGGCGTTTATTCTTTGCTGCACATCCTCGAATACGTGCTCAGATAGCAGTGAAGCACACTGATATTTTAGGTCAGTAATTTTTGCTTCGAATTTGTGGAGACAATTGTGAACGTCCGAAATTATAGCCCTCAAAACACGCCATCCGTATTTGTGCGCAAGACGTTTTCCGGTCGCATTCGGCAACGTCGATTTGGAACGAAGAGACTTCGGTAACACACCGTGATCGTGACAGCGGTGGAGGAAAGTCAGTTGTTCGCAAGTCATCGCATGTCTCTATGCAAATGTCTCCCAACGTCTGGTAAAAATAAGCGTTTGACGCCCGAATATACGTTGTAGCTCAGAGGGGGTATGCATTCGGAGTTGATATAATGAAAAATAGAAGAGGCTCTTCGGAAAAGTCGAGTTGTGCTCGAGTTGTACCCGAACCCGAAGTGTGGACCACCCGAGCTGGCTGACGACGGCTAATAAGCCAGAAGTGGCCATTCCAGTCTCCCTTGGCTTTGTAGGTAATTCCATTCCGCCTATATATCATGCGCCGCTGTGCGGCTGCTGGTTGGGCTCGAGAGAGAGCCTTTAAGGCACAACGGAACGAGTGAGTTCCGTATGAACAATCGGTGAGCTCCCCCTAACATTGTATATTCCCGTTCGCAAACCGACAGGGCAACGTGCTCGTGGCCCGGTAGGTAGAGGCGTAGACTTCTAAACCAACAAGTAGCGAGTTCGAGGCTCGGGTGTTCCGCACTTCGGGCTTCGGTATGGCTGGCTGACGACGGCCAATAAGCCAGAAATGGCCAATCCAGTCTCCCTTGTCTTTGTCGGTAATTTCATTCTGCATGTTCCGTAACTTGATCGGTGAGCGCCCACTATCATAATTAATATTCCCGATCACAACCGACAGGACAACGGGCCCGTGGTTCAATGGTAGACCTCAAACTCCATGACCAAGGATCCTGGTTTCGAATCTTAAATGATCCACACTTGGGGTTGGGTATGACTGGCTGATGACGGCTAATAAGCCAGAAATGGACATTCCGGTCTTCCTTGTTTTTGTCGGTACCATCTCAACTATGTCTACTACTAGTCGCTGTGCGACTGCCTGCGAGGGTTCTAGGATGAGCTCAAAGGCACAACGGAACGAGCATGTTCCGTAACCTGATCGGTGAGCGCCCACTATCATAATATATATATATATATATATATATATATATATATATATCAGGTGAATAATTTCAGCAATTAATCAGTGCAGAACTTGGAGTTAAATCTCCGGGACATGACTTTTTAGGGTCAGAACCGAAATTTCAATGAACATTTGAGTCGAAGACAATCAACTACTGTGGAATAACCTCGCAGCTGTGTCACGCAGCGGCAGAATATCGGCGAAACACGTGTCTGGGCTTTTAGCAAGTATCTAGGTCGGGAGTACGGTATAATACCACTACCATATATATATATATATATGGAAGAAGGAGATAAGGCGTTCTCTGGGGAGGAAGATTTAATCGTCTGACGTTTCATACTCGTACTCGAGCACATCATCGGAGACAGGCCAAATGAGAAATACATGGTTTTAATAGGCCATTCGTGCCCGCGCCTGATAGGTCGATCCCGCTCTCCTCTTATTGGTTCTGCTCTCGCGCGCAAGTGGTACCTGATGGCCTCATATGGCGCTGGTAGGTCAATACTGCGGTTAATCGAGTTGGCGTCTGATTGCCAGGCTTCGATTACTTCTCTCGCCAGCTTGATTTCGGCTCGGCCGAGCACTTGGGCACCGTCAAAGTCGAACACGTGATTATTTTCTAGACAGTGCATGGCGACGTGCGAGCGTACATCCTTTCGCTTTACGGCTAAGGCGTGCTCATGCACGCGCGTGCGCAGACGTTTGTCCGTCATGCCGCAGTAGTTGGCCAGACAGTCGAGACATTTGACGCGGTAAATGACGCCTGACGTGTCTGCAGGTGGTAGCCGGCCCTTGGGCTGCATGAGTAAGCGGCGGATGGTGGCCTCCGGTCGGTGTCCAACGCCCACGCTTAGTGGCCTTAGCATGCGCTCAGTGGCTTCGGAGACGTTTCTCACATAAGGCAGAACGCGGAAGGTTGCAGGCCTTTGCGTGTTCTCACGGTCGGCCCTCGTATGTCTTTGGTATAAGCATTTGTTTACGAAACTGCGCGGATATCCATTGGCAAGGAAGAGGTGCCATAGGGTTTAACGCTCCCGCAGCTTTTCGGCTTCTGTGCTGCAGTGTGTGTTGATGCGACGAAAAAGCGTCCGGACGCAGCTGCGTTTATGCGACGGGGGATGGTTACTGTTGTAGTGGAGAATTTTCTCCGTGTTTGTCGCTTTTCGAAAGACACCCGTCTGGAGCGTTCCGTCTTCTTGCCTCGTTACCTGAACGTCGAGGAAAGGAAGCACTCCGTCTTTTTCTTCCTACATGGTAAATTGAATTTGTGGGAAGACCGAGTTCAGTTGCCTTTTAAAGTTGTCTTTCGCGTCCCGGTGTAAAATGACAAAGGTGTCGTCTACGTAGCGCATCCAGAACTTCGGCTTGTAGGACTGAAAGACTCGAGCTTCCAGTTCCTGCATGACCGCCTCAGCCAGATAGCCGGAAATCGGAGACCCCATTGGGGTTCCCTGGATTTGGTCGTAAATTTGACCATTAAAAGTGAAGTACGTGCGTAGGCAGTAGTCCAATAGTTCCATCACGTGCTTCCGCTTAAACGGTTTCCCCTCTTCGTCGTACTTTCTCTCCAGTAGGTCATTGATGACTTTCATGGCCAATTCTTTTGGGATGGAGGTGAATAGAGAGACGACGTCAAAGGATACCATTACCTCGTCGGGGGCTATTACAACCCCTTTGAGTTTTTCCAGGAAGTGTGTTGAAGATACGGCTGTGTGTTCTGAGCCGTCTGTCAGCCTCTTTAAATGCTTTGCGAGCCATTTAGCCAGTCCGTAGGTAGGCGTACCTTTCAGCGCCACAATGGGTCGTAGGGGAACATTCAGCTTGTGGATTTTCGGCAGAACATAGAAACGCGCTAGGGCAGCGTCTTGCGGTTTCATCTGTCTCCAATCTTTCTCGGATATTGCCTTTTGATTCCTCATTTTGTTCAGGCTCTTGTTGATTTTGCCTACCAGTGTTTTCATGGGGTCGGCGTCAACAACTTTGTATGACTGGTAGTTGTTTAGTAGCTCTTGGGCTTTCGTCACGTACTCTGACTTGTCCAGGACCACGGTTGCCCGTCCTTTGTCTGCTGGAACAATGACAATTTCGTCGTCATTCTTTAATTCCCTTATGGCCTTGAGCTCTGCCGAGGTGATGGTTCGGCGTGGCCTATGGGATATGATGAGGGATGCGACCCGTTGGCGAATCGCGTTCTTG